CTCAATGATAAAGATTTTAAAAATGAAAATAATATTCAGAAAGGCAAGAAGGAATCTAAAATAACCCCCAAAAGATCATTCATCACAGTGAACATTGTATCTGTGGGTAAATTCACTATGCCACAATGTCAAACCATCCTTCTAGCTCTCAGATGAGAAACACTAGAGCACTTGTGAATCCACTTGTTTTAATGATCCTACTGAAGCAAGGGAGGCCGTGGAGAAGAACAAGGGGTGCAGTGTTTCAGAGTACAGGCTGTGTGGCCAAACTGCTGGGGTGAACTGCAGCTGACCAAAATAAACTGATGAATAAAACAGAACCAGAGGCATGGAAACATGGAACAGACTGACGAATCTCAGACTGAAGGGGGAAGAGGGTGGGTGGGAAGAGATTAACCAAAAACCTTATATGCATATATGCACTACCCATGGACACAAACAATAGGACTGTGAAGGCCTGGGGTGGGGCAGGATCTGGGTGGAGGAGGGCAAGGGGGTGGGAAAAAGGGGTTAGACATCTCTAATACTCTCAATGATAAAGATTTTAAAAATGAAAATATTCAGAAAGGCAAGAAGGAATCTAAAATAACCCCCAAAAGATCATTCATCACAGTGAACATTGTATCTGTGGGTAAATTCACTATGCCACAATGTCAAACCATCCTTCTAGCTCTCAGATGAGAAACACTAGAGCACTTGTGAATCCACTTGTTTTAATGATCCTACTGAAGCAAGGGAGGCCGTGGAGAAGAACAAGGGGTGCAGTGTTTCAGAGTACAGGCTGTGTGGCCAAACTGCTGGGGTGAACTGCAGCTTTGCCTTTGAATAGTCATGTATCTTAAGCAAGTGGTGTGTTTTTTTTCACATATTTTTATTGATTTCAGAGAGGTAGGGAGAGGGAGAGAGAATAGAAACATCAATGATGAGAGAGAATCATTGACTGGCTGCCTCCTGCATGGTCCCTGGGGATCGAGCCCACAACCCAGGCATGTGCCCTTGACTGGAATCGAACCTGGGACCCTTCAGTCTGCAGGCCGACGCTCTGTCCACTAAGCCAAACAAGCTAGGGCTCAGGCAATTTTCCTAATCTCTCCATTCCTTAGTTTCTTCACCCATAAATGGAGAATAACTCCCTAATGCAGAGGGATGTGTGAGGGTAAAATGAGATAACCTAGTTCTGAGCACAGTACCTAATACATATTAATTTCACAATTACTTCAAAAACTCCTCAGTATGAAACCCCTTGGTCTTGGTATGCATACAATTCATAAAAGGTAAATATGTGGTACAGCAACCTTTCAAATGGTACAGCACCCCAATCAAATGACAAGGTAGGTCTGGGCATACATCCCAGAACTCAAAAACGTCTATACCCTAAAAGTTCCCCTTAGAGCAGCGGTTCTCAACCTGTGGGTCACCAACCTGTGGATCGCGAACGCTTAGGGCAGCCGTGGGCAAACTACAGCCCGCGGGCCGGATCCGGCCCGTTTGAAATGAAAACTAAAAAAAAAAAGACCGTACCCTTTTGTACCCTTTTATGTAATGATGTTTACCAATTTGTAACAATGAAAATACATCCTGCATATCCGATATTTACATTACGATTCATAACAGTAGCAAAATTACAGTTATGAAGTAGCCACGAAAATAATTTTATGGTTGGGGGTCACCACAACATGAGGAACTGTATTGAAGGGTCGCGGCATTAGAAGGTTGAGAACCACTACCTTAGTCAGTGGAACACACTTCCCACATGCCGTGGTTAAATCATTGCTAACACAGGTGAAAGACATGAGTGGGCACAGCTGAGCCTCTAGCTGCGATCCGCCCACTGCTCTAATGGGTAGGTGTTAGGTCCTGGGAAGGACAGAACACAGTGACCCTGGGAAGAACACATCTTCCTGCCACTGTAACAGCTTGAAGCTTACACTTTATGCTTGAGGACTTCAAGAACAACCTATTCTGTCCTGTACCAAGGGCCTCATAGCACTCACTGTAACAACTGAGACACTGTAACCCATAACACACAGATACTAAAATAAAAATGTAGGATTTGTTTCTATTTCATGAACATGCTTCTGGTGATATCCTTTTGAAAGCGGACACTCAATAGTTGTCAGTATCTTAGTACCAACTCTCAATCTCCCTCTAACAAGAACACAGCAATAAATATACCTATATACTCCAATAAGCCTAGAGTTACTTTAAGGAATAATTATGTTCTTATGAAATATTTTATCATTACCACCAAGTTGACTAGTCCTTCTTCTCTATGGGTCTGCATAACTCACCTACTCCTTACTCAGGTAATAATGATCATAAAACTACTCAAAATTAGACAGGAAAAAAAATTAAGGGAGGCCCAGCTGATGCTGCTCAGTGGTTAAGCATCAACCCATGAACCAAGAGGTCACAGTATGATTCCCAGTCAGGGCACATGCTTGGGTTGTGGGCTTGATCCCTGGTATGGGGCATGCAGGAGGCAGCTGATCAATGACTCTCTCTCATTAGTTATGTTTCTATCTCCTCCCTCCCCCTTACTATCTGT